GGGGGTGAAATCTGTATTTATAACTCTGGTAACTTAAATCCTGGGAGGGGGGGGAGGTTGAAAAGAATTAGGGTGTTGAGTTTGCAACCGGTTTGCAAGAGAGACTTGGCCAGGCTGGTTGGGAAGGGAAAGGAAGGGATCCTCTCCCTTGGAGTTTTACGGTGCAATCAAATCATCCCCCCCTTTAAAAAAATTTGCATGCAGGGACAAGCAAGCCAGAACCCACGTTCCTTTCAAATCCTGGGAGGGGGGGGAGGTTGAAAAGAATTAGGGTGTTGAGTTTGCAACCGGTTTGCAAGAGAGACTTGGCCAGGCTGGTTGGGAAGGGAAAGGAAGGGATCCTCTCCCTTGGAGTTTTACGGTGCAATCAAATCATCCCCCCCTTTAAAAAAATTTGCATGCAGGGACAAGCAAGCCAGAACCCACGTTCCTTTCGCTCCCCCAACTTTGGTAGTTGCAAAGCCGGGCATAGTGGGTTGTTTTTTGTTTTTTTTTTGGAGGGGGGACGTGTAATTGTTTGCAACCCCCCCCCAAAAGAGAGAAGACCTTCAGGCATGAGGGTGGCCGGGAGGCTGTTTCCTGAAAGATCTGGCCGGGGAGAGGGAACTTGTGGGGGGGGTGCCTAGAAGGCCGGGCGGGAATCTGCTTGGCCCTTTTCAGATGCTTGCATCAGAGTTTCCTTATCTTTTCTCTCTTCCTTCCTTCCTTCCTTCTCTCTCTCTCTCTCCCCCCCAAGCCTTGGCTCTCTCTTGCTCCTTCCCTCTCCGAGGGGAATGCATGTCTTTTATCAGACCAAGGCATGCAAAGTTTTGTCTAGCCCGCCGGCGGCGTCCAGAAGGGTGGCTTCCTTCTAGAAGGGCTTTCTGACTCAGGGAAGCGAATCCCCAAATGAGTTTGGGTTCTTCTTCCCCAAGAAAGGTAGCAGAACTCCTCCTTCCAGGGTCCAGCCTCAGCTTGAGGTTGGAGGAGAAAGAGGGAAAGAGTTCGGTCCCATCCGGAGACCTTCAAGTCAGAAATCTCCCCGTGCCACCAGGATGTGGCGAGATGATAGACGTCTCCCTTCCGAGGCCTAAGGACTTGGGATTCTTCTGATGGCCCCAGACTTTTATTGGTTTGCCTCTGGGTGCTGAGCTTGAGAAACAGGCTTGGGATGGGCCGGTGCCAGAGCAGTTAGTTGGCCAGCTGTTGGGTTAGCAGTGCAGTTAAGTGACTTCAAGCTGGTGGCTGAATTATCCTCCTCCGATGTGGTCCATGACCTCCATTGCCCCATAGTTCTGCTCTAGAGGCACCACTCTGTAAGGCTTGGGGAAATGTGCACGAGGAGAGGGAACCACAGGGCTAAAGTAGGTGCGGAGGACTCGCGGGCCTCCAAGGGCATTGGACTACATCACCCATCATCCATGCCGAATAACTTTGTTTTCTAAGGTTGATAGGAGCTGCTGGTCAGGTAGTATCCAGAGATCTCTCAGGACTCACCCCTCTGAGCAAAGGGGATGCAGGATTGACCCCGATGGACTGCTGTTCTTTAAAAAAAAAAATAATCATAGTGTGCACTGCTCTGAATGTCCGTCTCCCTGAAAGCTCACATTGAAATACAGCCGCTAGCCTTGGAGGGGCCACAAGATTTTAATTTTAAAAAAATAATCATAGCGTGCACTGCTCTGAATAAGTGTCTGTCTCCTTGAAAGCTCACATTGAAATACAGCTGCTAGCCTTGGAGGGGCCACAAGATTTTAATTTTCTTGCTGTTGCTGTTTTGTTTTCAATTTTGTGTGGATCTTGTGTACTGTTTAGCAAGCTTGGTTCATATTTGCTGGTCTGTCCCCGTGAGGAACTGAACCACTGCAACCCGAAGCTGCTTTAGCTGCATAGCGAATTTTTGGCAAAGATAGGATTGGAACCGAGATCAGCCCTAGATCCGTAATTCTGTGCTCACGTTTTATTCTACTTGTACGCTGCAGCTCTGCACTTAAATACGTTGTCTATTCATGGTTGCTTCTTTATATGGTGGTAAAGAGATGATTATGCTGTCTGTTCATGGTTGCTTCCTTCTTTATATGGTGGTAAAGAGATGATTACTTTGTGACCTTTTAAGGTGCACTTACAAAAATATTACTGTGTTATCTTTTTTTTTTACTCTTTCTTATAAGATGTATCTATGAAAGTGTCTTAAGTTTTCTAACACAAAAAGTGTGACTTGTTTTGTGCAGGATATGATACGT